ATAGGATCTAATCTCATACTGCTGACATGTTTCAGATACACAATCCTCATCAGGACGACTAGTTAACCTAGGGTTAACCTTCCAATATAGGATCTAATCTCATACTGCTGACATGTTTCAGATACACAATCTTCATCAGGACGACTAGTTAACCTAGGGTTAACCTTCCAATATAGGATCTAATCTCATACTGCTGACATGTTTCAGATACACAATCCTCATCAGGACGACTAGTTAACCTAGGGTTAACCTTCCAATATAGGATCTAATCTCATACTGCTGACATGTTTCAGATACACAATCCTCATCAGGACGACTAGTTAACCTAGGGTTAACCTTCCAATATAGGATCTAATCTCATACTGCTGACATGTTTCAGATACACAATCCTCATCAGGACGACTAGTTAACCTAGGGTTAACCTTCCAATATAGGATCTAATCTCATACTGCTGACATGTTTCAGATACACAATCCTCATCAGGACGACTAGTTAACCAGGGTTAACCTTCCAATATAGGATCTAATCTCATACTGCTGACATGTTTCAGATACACAATCCTTATCAGGACAGCTAGTTTTAACTAGTTAACCTTCTAATATAGGACTTAATGTTAGCTAATTCTCATCAGGACAGCTAGTTTTAAATTTCCAATATAGGACTTAATGTTAGCTAATTCTCATCAGGACAGCTAGTTTTAAATTTCCAATATAGGACTTAATGTTAGCTAATTCTCATCAGGACAGCTAGTTTTAAATTTCCAATATAGGACTTAATGTTAGCTAATTTTCATCAGGACAGCTTGTTTTAAATTTCCAATATAGGACTTAATGTTAGCTAATTCTCATCAGGACAGCTAGTTTTAAATTTCCAATATAGGACTTAATGTTAGCTAATTCTCATCAGGGCAGCTAGTTTTAAATTTCCAATATAGGACTTAATGTTAGCTAATTCTCCTCAGGACAGCTAGTTTTAAATTTCCAATATAGGACTTAATGTTAGCTAATTCTCCTCAGGACAGCTAGTTTTAAATTTCCAATATAGGACTTAATGTTAGCTAATTCTCATCAGGACAGCTAGTTTTAAATTTCCAATATAGGACTTAATGTTAGCTAATTGACTTGAGCTCATCTCATACTGCTAACTTGTGTTTCACTTTTTGGCTTAAAGGGATTGTAAAGAGGTTATGCGATTATAATTTGGAATTGTGTAAATTGATGCTATCATTGTCCCCTATATTTACAAAGTTTTTAGAAAACCTCTTTACAATCTCTTTATTGTGTACATCATCTGAGGCCACGGTTTTATCTGGCCTTTAGTATTGATGGTCAATGTAATATCTAACTCATAAACTGTATCACAGTAGTTAACATGTCTATATATTTATATTGTAGATTCTACTATCAGTCATCTATGTGCTGTAAATCTGTTCACTGGTTATAGTGTTTTACATTATATTGTACAGAAGGGAGATAATCTACCACTAATTAGAGCTGTTTTATCTACTGACACTTCCTGTTTAAATATACAAGATAATAATGGATTGACACCATTACATCTCGCTAGTCAGACAGGCCGACGTAAATCTATAGATCTCTTGTTGGTAAGTTACTTAATAATATCGACCTTGTGGACTCTCTGAAAGTGAGTTGAGGACTGGCTGTAGTCCAATCAGTGAGAGCAGTGGAATCTTTCCTCATTATGCTAATCATCCCAGCAATGTTCAAACGAACAACCAACTGGTAGAAAGGATCCTTGTGAACCAAAGTTATTATCATTTTAAAATAGAGTTCTTACATTCTTTTTGAGTTGAGAAAAGTACTTACTAAAATATGAACCGACATGAAACGAACAGCAAGTGAGAATTTAGCTCAAGCAAAACCTTCTTCGGTTCAGCAGAGATTGATTCATTTACAGTGTCTTTGTATAAAATCTAAAAGATATAGATTTTGATATGTTTTTGGTACTTCAAGATTGTCAGAAATGAGTTCTCTGGGCCTTTAATTTTTCAAATTTCTGAGTACAAAATCTTAGTCTGGGCCCGGGTATAACTGAATTAAGATAATATCTGTTTATTTTCAGTCATATGAAGGGATAGATTTGAACTTACGAACTCTCCAGGGACAACTACCAGAAGAAATGATTAATAATAAAAACATTGTAAAATCAATACAGAAATCACGGATTAATCAAACAGGACTGTAAGTAATTATTAATTAAACTATATAATCTTTTAACTAGGATTCTAATTTCAATCAGACGTCTGTGGTTCCTGCAATTCCACTTAAACAAAGTGTAAGTTCTACTTGTCCAAAATCAGTAGAGACCCAAGCATAGCGTGAAACTCTGAGTAACAACATGTTTTTTTAGGCTCTGTTTTGATATTTCTAAATTGTTGTAATATTGTTTTTCTAAATTTTTCCCTTTCAAGGTTGACGGTTCTAAACACAACAATTTTCGACTCATTTCCCATCATGGATTCCCAACAAATATCTTTAATGTAAGCTAGCACTAACACTGGAATAGGGGGCATTATCACTGTTATTTTGAGTTATAATCACTGGTATTGTTTTTCTAGAGCACCCAGAGTTTTTGGGGTTTTTTTATTTCGCAGAATTCTGTAACTGATTTTCTCTTGAAGTAATTTTTGACAAATTTTGTTTTAATTCCCGAGGTAGAGGTGGAAAAAAACTCAATCATTCTAATTTAAAATGTGATGTATCTGTTAGATTTAACATGAGAAAACATAAATTTGTTTTACATTACTATTGTCTGGCCTTTTTACATTTTGTTTTAATTGGTTGATAAAGAAAAAGAAATTTTGATGTTATTGTACGTTGGCTGACTGTGTCATTAAACAGATGAATGTTCTAGAGGATCAGCCTAAGACATCAACTGAATTACCTTAATTAAAAATTAAAATAAAAACTAATAATAAAAAAACGGAAAGAAATTTCTGGCCCCCTGAAAAATTTAGATGACTTGAAGGTCTTGAGTCACATAGTTGATGCCTCCCTTGATCAAGACCCTGGGCAAGCTACGTGCCTGAATGGTATTTATCAATTTTATCATTGTCATATAGAAAGTATTTTGATATTTCAGAATGAAGCCACCTGCAACCCCGGAAGATGAAAGTCCTTCAGCTTCGAAGCCCCCGAGTATCATTGGCTCGACCATCAACTTTGATAAAGTTCACCATAGATACGAAACTTTAAAAAAGGAGGTCAAGTCAGCAGAAAATTCTTAGAAACATGGCTACAGTTCTCATAAAATAGAAACATGGCTACGGTTCTCATAAAATAGAAACATGGGCTCAAAAGTTTAAGTTTAAGAATGTGTTTATCTGAATTCTGTAAAGCGTTTGGCCTTTAAGTTGCTATCAAACCACAATCTGATGAACAAGAAATGGTAGAATATCATACACATTAGATCAATTTTGATGTTTCAAGAGAATCATGCAAGAAACTGTAAATTTGAGAGGATTAATCTGAGTATGGAGATGGAGGCCAGAGATTTGGAAAAATGCTCAGTTCAATATCAAATTTCATTTTGTTTGTTTTAATTCTTATAGTTCTCAAAATGATACAAAACACAAAAAACAAACAACAAAAATATCACACAGAGAACACTGATAGCATCAATTTGTACCATTCCAATTTTCAATCAGACGTCTGTGGTTCCTGTAATTCCAAATGTTTTATGATGTCACTAACCACAAAGTCCTTTATGTGATAGAGCATATTTTGCGATTAGTGACGTCATCAAATGCTTAGAATTGAAGGTTTCTTTAGTCATGAAGGGAGGCTATGCTTTTCTCATCCAAACACTATACTCTTGTTTATTGTAAAATTGGATATATTCCTGGAAATACATATATCAATAGCTGAAAAGGCTTGACAAGTTATATGTTTGTTATCTATATATTTGGTTGTATATATTGTTGTTATCATCAGCTGTTCTATCATTTAGATGAGTTATATGTTTGTTATCTATATATTTGGTTGTATATATTGTTGTTATTATCAAATTGTTATTACTGAGATTATCATCATCCAGTGCTTCCATTAAAATATTACCAATTGAAAATATGTTTGAACTTGATAGATTGGCTGGGCTTAGCTGGGTTATATACATGGTGACAGGCCTGTAGCAAAAGGGGGGAGGGGGACAATGCATCCCACAAAAAAATGGATTGCTGTCCTGAAAAAATTCTGACAACCGACCAATTCCATTACTGCAACTAATCAGCATACACCATTGCCCCTCCTGGATATAATATTTGCCACTCCGAACAATCGTTGGGATGGGTGAACCACACCTGTCTGACTGGGTTTGTACATGCTGATCTGCTCCTGGCTAGGTAGTAATTGAGTTTTTTCTTGACAATGGTAGATTTCGAGATAGATTCGGAACGTATGGTGCACAATTCTCAAGCAGACGACAATTCAACTTATTATTTTAGTAATGTCACTGTCTCCCTTCATCACCAAATCTCTCCAGATGTTAGTAATATCACTGTCTCCCTTCATCACCAAATCTCTCCAGATGTTAGTAATATCACTGTCTCCCTTCATCACCAAATCTCTCCAGATGTTAATAATATCACTGTCTCCCTTCATCACCAAATCTCTCTAGATGTTAGTAATATTACTGTCTCCCTACATCACCAAATCTCACCAGATGTTAGTAATATCACCGTCTCCCTTCATCACCAAATCTCTCTAGATGTTAGTAATATCACTGTCTCCCTTCATCACCAAATCTCACCAGATGTTAGTAATATCACTGTCTCCCTTCATCACCAAATCTCCCCAGATGTTAGTATTATCACTGTCTCCCTTCATCACCAAATCTCTCTAGATGTTAGTATTATCACTGTCTCCCTACATCACCAAATCTCACCAGATGTTAGTAATATCACTGTCTCCCTTCATCACCAAATCTCCCCAGATGTTAGTAATATCACTGTCTCCCTACATCACCAAATCTCTCTAGATGTTAGTAATATCACTGTCTCCCTTCATCACCAAATCTCTCCAGATGTTAGTAATATCACTGTCTCCCTTCATCACCAAATCTCTCCAGATGTTAGTAATATCACTGTCTCCCTACATCACCAAATCTCACCAGATGTTAGTAATATCACCGTCTCCCTTCATCACCAAATCTCCCCAGATGTTAGTAATATCACTGTCTCCCTTCATCACCAAATCTCTCCAGATGTTAGTAATATCACCGTCTCCCTTCATCACCAAATCTCACCAGATGTTAGTAATATCACTGTCTCCCTTCATCACCAAATCTCTCTAGATGTTAGTAACATCACTGTCTCCCTTCATCACCAAATCTCTCCAGATGTTAGTAATATCACTGTCTCCCTACATCACCAAATCTCACCAGATGTTAGTAATATCACCGTCTCCCTTCATCACCAAATCTCACCAGATGTTAGTATTATCACTGTCTCCCTACATCACCAAATCTCACCAGATGTTAGTAATATCACTGTCTCCCTTCATCACCAAATCTCTCTAGATGTTAGTAATATCACCGTCTCCCTACATCACCAAATCTCTCTAGATGTTAGTATTATCACTGTCTCCCTACATCACCAAATCTCCCCAGATGTTAGTAATATCACTGTCTCCCTTCATCACCAAATCTCTCTAGATGTTAGTAATATCACTGTCTCCCTTCATCACCAAATCTCACCAGATGTTAGTAATATCACTGTCTCCCTTCATCACCAAATCTCCCCAGATGTTAGTATTATCACTGTCTCCCTTCAAATCTCCCCAGATGTTAGTAATATCACTGTCTCCCTACATCACCAAATCTCTCTAGATGTTAGTAATATCACTGTCTCCCTTCATCACCAAATCTCTCCAGATGTTAGTAATATCACTGTCTCCCTTCATCACCAAATCTCTCCAGAAGTTAATAATTTCTTAACAAATTTAAGTATTCTAATTCTAAAATCCCTAGTCTCTACTTGTGACCTAGGCCAGTGCTTTTGTACTGTCTAAGGCTTTAATATTGATCTTAACTGATGAGGATTCAAACCTATGACACCTAATCTCCCAGTAGAGCCATTCAATGACTAAAGCCTTAGGTAGGCCCACATAATAGGCTAATTAAAGGGATTGTAAAGATACGCGTAAATTGTTTTAGAAAACCTCTTAACCGCTGCTATATAAGATGAAAAGTATGTTGGTGTGTGTTATTTCCAAATTGATAAATAAACAGGTCGCAATAACCAAATGCGATGCCTGAAATGGCAAGTAGGCGAAAAAACAATGTGCCGAATTGACCAGGTGTCGAAGTGTGGCAAGTAGGCGAAAAGACAATGTGCCGAATTGACCAGGTGTCGAAGTGTGGCAAGTAGGCGAAAAGACAATGTGCCGAATTGACCAGGTGTCGAAGTGTGGCAAGTAGGCGAAAAGACAATGTGCCGAATTGACCAGGTGTCGAAGTGTGGCAAGTAGGCGAAAAGACAATGTGCCGAATTGACCAGGTGTCGAAGTGTGGCAAGTAGGCGGAAAGGCAATGTGCCGAATTGACCAGGTGTCGAAGTGTGGCAAGTAGGCGAAAAGACAATGTGCCGAATTGACCAAGTGTCGAAGTGACATGTTGTCCTCAGATTATAAAGTGGCTGGTTAATCAAAGAAGAAATTAGCATATAGCGCATGCGTATAAACAGAAATATTGAACGGGACGGAAGTTGAGTTGAACTGCAGGCATTTTGTTGTGTTAAAATTTAGCACGTAAAAAGTAAAATGTCGTACGGTAAAGGTGAAGCAGATACGTTCTACGTTGAACAGCAACATGTTGGACGAATTATTGGCAAAGGTGGCGAAAGAATCCGAAGTTTGCAGGTAAAACAGTATTTGTGATTTGATAAGATTGAGGGGTGATTCGCCCGGCACCCACGCGGCGGAATAGACTCAGTTATCCAGTCGTTCTTGTACTTTTCTCTTAAAAAAAATGCTGTCTTAAAATCTTGAAGTAAAGCTTAGATCATTTAGTTTTCGTCTGTGAAGCATTTTATTGAATAAATTTAAACACTTTTCTCTTTGTTTATACAATATTACCTTCTACTAAATAGTTTTCAACCATGACTAGGCTATTTGACATAATTATGTCATGATCAAAATAAAATCTGTTCAGACACCTCTATTTGATGCCCCTCTGGCCTCTATTTTAATGAACTCTCAGGAATTATTATCATACAGTGGTGAGAAGGGTCCAATTTCTATATCAGGGTAGAATTTGCCATTATGATAAAATTTCTATTCCAGGATGAGAGTGGTTGTCAAATTAAAATTGAAAGTCGAGAATCAGACCGAGAAGATGAAGCCAGAGTTGATTTATTCGGCAGTGACGAGGCCAAAACCTTAGCCAAAGAATTAATTCAAGATATTTGTAAACGTTCATATTCTGATGGTGGTAGAGGAGGAGGCCGAGGGGGTGGTTACGGAGGGGGGAGAGGCGGCGGCCGATACGGGGGTGGGGGTAGAAATGAATATGGGGGAGGAAGGTCGTATGGAGGAAGATCGTATGGGGGTGGTGGTGGCTATGGTGGAGGAAGACCACGAGATTCGTACGGCGGAGGAGGAGGGGGTGGTAGGGATTCTTACAGTGGAGGGGGACGTGATTCCTACGGAAGTGGGGGTGGGGGACGTCGAGATTATGGAGGTAGAGATGAATACCGATCTGGTGGCGGAGGAGGAGGAGGAGGATATTAAAAGGAATCAGCTACTGAATTTTGATGACAAAGGGCTTGGCTCTGTTAGCCTCCATTTTGAGGTAGTTGCTTTACAAAGCTTTTAAAATCGTACTGTATTCAAATATTCTACTAAAATTAATGAGAGGTCTGTAAAATATTTTAAACTTGATTTGATAATAATGACCGGTAATTGTGTTACTTCTCTAAAAAAAAAAAAATCTTGATTTTTCTAATGTAATAGTGGTATATAATGATCATCGAAGGAAATGTGTTGGTTCCCTGTAATTGTCGAATTTCTTTATGAAATGGAGTTGTTCTTCGACAGAATATTGTTACTCTGATAAAATTCTATCGTTTTCCTGTTATAATGGTGCCAGTAAGATGTATTACATAGTTGGATTGTGGCCTGAAATTTCTGGTGGTAAAGAATGGATGTTGTGGTCGATGGCTGACAATTTTTGATGAAACTTGATCCAGATGAACCTTGACACCAACCAGATGAAGAAGATGTTTATGATTTTAATTTCTTTTTCAATAAGATTTCAATATTTAATCCTCATTCATTGAAAACTGCACAATTAATCTTAACCCTTGCTTCCAACTTTACCAACTTGCGAAGTAAATCTCGAACAACCAATCTTATAATAAATGTATATGCCTCTATTTATGTCATAAGCTCGGAATCTGGTGAATCTGTTTGGCTAGTGAAGGGAGGTAAGTATAGATGAGCTTATGACTGAATCTCGTAAAGCATCTACGTCTCAATATTGATTGATCCTGGTAAAACTGATACAGACGAGGAAATCTGATTTTATCTTGAAATGAGTTCTGAATCTTGCATCATCCTTCTCAACCCAAATATTATCTCGAGAAATGCGAATCATGACTCTGTCGAAATAAATTGGAAACTATCATTGAACTCTTGAACCAATCACTTGCCTTGAAACAACGTTGAATTAATCAATCCAACCAATCGTTTGCCTCGAATCAATTTTGAATTTGAATAACTGGCCAATCGAATCTCTGAATCTGAATTTTGAACCCGAACAAAGCTGTGCAACTTCCAATGTTTTGAATTTGAAGATAATTGTTGTGTTTTATTGTACTGAATGATTCTTGTGAACAAACCAAACCTGTCAATCTATTTCTTATCTACCAATTATATAACATTATGTTTGAATACTTCCAATTTATTACCAATATTTTTACACTTTGAACATTTGTATCTTTCAATGTGACCAGCTGGAAAGATCAATCTCTGCCAAATCATTACCAATAATTTTACACTTTGAACATTTGTATTTATTATAAAGAGGATAACATCTAGTGAATCTATCCTACCTAGCCTCTTCATACTTATTATATTTACCTATGAAAATTGTATTTTGTATCGAATAATGGATGGATTCTCTAATCTTGTATCTGGTTTTCTCCAATCTTAATGTTCTTGTGGAATACGGATGATCAATTATATTTTAATCTCTATTTAGATATGGATAGAAAACTCAGTTCTCTACTAATTTTTAATGATCATTCACTGTGAACGTTTGTATATTACTGTGTGAAACCATGGATAAAATCCTGGTTAATTTTTAACTTATTTAATAACTTGTTGGAGATGAAAATTTAGAGTTTGTTTTTGTAAAATGGATGGAACCTAGAATGAATCAATCTAAGCCTAGTTTTTAATTTGATCAGTGGATATCTGAAATTTGTTTTTTTAAGATAGCATGGTAAAATTGTTTGTTTGTAACAAAGTAAACAAGTATTTGTGAAGCATTAGTATCTAGATATTGAATCATTTTAAAACTATTTTAAAAATTACTCTCAATCCTGTTCACTGCCTGATTTATGGAATGAGAAACATATTCAGTATTATATTCTAATATAGACTCAACGTTTTCAACATCAGATATTCAATTCCATTCTTCCTAGACCTAAGATATCATTTATTGAAATGTTTAAAAGGAATCTTGAAACAAACCTCTTGGATGTACTAGAAATACTAAAACTAGAATTGTGGAACTTTGACTGATAATCCAGAATGATGTGTTTAAAAAAACTTAAAAAAATACTTGATATTTACAAAAGATAAAATTGAATTGATATCCAGAGTGACTGATAATGACAACCAATTTCATCTGTGTGTATAAACCTAAATACTGGGCTATTATTGATATAAACTGGACAATCTTCAATCAGACTATTGAAATGAAATAATATCCTAGAATGACTCGTGTATACTCAACACCAATTTTAAACCACGTTAAATGAAACAGACTAATTATTGAATATCTCAGTTTTATTGGGCACGTAAGTATTTTAGATTTGACTGGGCGAGGTTGTGGGGACCAGACGAGTGTTTGTAAGAATTTGGGTGGGTTGGGCCTGGATGTAATAGGGAGGGGGGAGGCAGGGGTAACCTATATTTTAATTACTTCTAATTATAGCTGTTTTTAATTGATCATTAAAATTTAATTGAAATAAATCTAGTAAATGGTGACGAGTTTTATTTTGTATGTTTTTAATCCATGCTAGACCGAAACATCGTCCTCAATTCCAGCCTCTGACAGCTATTTTGAAAGTTGTCGATTCCATCCAAAAGAAAAACTGTCAAACTAGCTATCAGAGGCTGGAATACAGGCAGATGTTTCGGTCTGACAACTATCAAACTAGCTATCAGAGGCTGAAATATAGAGGCAGATGTTTCAGTCTGACAACTATCAAACTAGCTATCAGAGACTGGAGTAGAGGCAGATGTTTCAGTCTGACAACTATCAAACTAGCTATCAGAGGCATGAATACAGGCAGATGTTACTGTCCGACAACTGTCAAACTAGCTATCAGAGGCTGGAATAGAGACAGATGTTTCAGTCAGACAACTGTCAAACTAGCTATCAGAAGCTGGCATACAGGCAGATGTTTCATCTGACAACTGTCAAACTAGCTATCAGAGGCATGAATAGAGGCGGATGCTTCAGTCTGACAACTGTCAAACAAGCTATCAGAAGCTGCCATAGAGGCAGATGATTCAGAATGACAACTGTCAAACTAGCTATCAGAGGCTGGAATAGAGGCAGATGTTTCCGTTTGACAACCATCAAACTAGCTATCAGAGGCTGGAAAAGAGGCAGATGTTTCAGTCTGACAACTATCAAACTAGCTATCAGGGGCTGGAGTAGAGGCAGATGTTTCAGTCTGACAGCTATCAGAGACTGAAATAGAGGCAGATGTTTCAGTCTGATAACTGTCAAACTAGCTATCAGGGGCTGGAATAGAGGCAGATGTTTCAGTCTGACAACTATCAAACTAGCTATCAGAGGCTGGAATAGAGGCAGATGTTTCAGTCTGACAACTATCAAACTATCTAACCGAGGCTGGAATACAGGCAGATGTTTCGGTCTGACAAATGTCAAACTAGTTATCAGAGGCTGGAGTAGAGACAGATGTTTCAGTCTGACAACTGTCAAACTAGCTACAAGAGGCTGGAGTAGAGGCAGATGTTTCAGTCAGACAGCTATCAAACTAGCTATCAGAGGCTGGAATAGAGGCAGATGTTTCAGTCTGACAACTATCAAACTAGCTATCAGAGGCTGGAATAGAGGCAGATGTTTCAGTTTGACAACCATCAAACTAGCTATCAGAGGCTGGAAAAGAGGCAGATGTTTCAGTCTGACAACTATCAAACTAGCTATCAGGGGCTGGAGTAGAGGCAGATGTTTCAGTCTGACAGCTATCAGAGACTGAAATAGAGGCAGATGTTTCAGTCTTATAACTGTCAAACTAGCTATCAGGGTCTGGAATAGAGACAGGTGTTTCGGCCTGACAACTGTCAAACTAGCTATCAGGGTCTGGAATAGAGGCAGATGTTTCGGTCTGACAACTGTCACACTAGCCATCACAGGCTGGAATAGAGGCAGATGTTTCAGTCTGACAACTATCAAACTAGCTATCAGAGGCTGGAATAGAGGCAGATGTTTCAGTCTGACAACTATCAAACTAGCTAACCGAGGCTGGAATACAGGCAGATGTTTCGGTCTGACAAATGTCAAACTACCTATCAGAGGCTGGAATATAGGCAGATGTTTCGGTCTGCCAACTGTCAAACTAGCTACAAGAGGTTGGAGTAGAGGCAGATGTTTCAGTCAGACAGCTATCAAACTAGCTATCAGAGGCTGGAATAGAGGCAGATGTTTCAGTCTGACAACTATCAAACTAGCTATCAGAGGCTGGAATAGAGGCAGATGTTTCAGTCTGACGACTATCAAACTAGCCATCAGGGTCTGGAATAGAGGCAGATGTTTCAGTCTGACAAATGTCAAACAAGCTATCAGAGGCTGGAATAGAGGCAGATGGGTCAGTCTGACAACTAACAAAATAGCTATCAGAGGCTGGAATAGAGGCAGATGTTTCAATCTGACAGCTATCAAACTAGCTATCAGAGGCATGAATAGAGGCAGATGTTTCAGTCTGAAAACTATCAAACTAGCTATCAGAGGCTGGCATAGAGGCAGATGTTTCGGTCTGACAACTATCAAACTAGCTATCAGAGGCTGAAATATAGAGGCAGATGTTTCAGTCTGACAACTATCAAACTAGCTATCAGAGGCTAGAGTAGAGGCAGATGTTTCAAACTGACAACTATCAAACTAGCTATCAGAGGCATGAATACAGGCAGATGTTTCCGTCTGACAACTGTCAAATTAGTTATCAGAGGCTGGAATAGAGGCAGATGTTTCAGTCTGACAACTGTCAAACTAGCTATCAGAGGCTGGAATAGAGGCAGATGTTTCAGTCTGACAACTATCAAACTAGCTATCAGAGGCTGGAATAGAGGCAGATGTTTCAATCTGACAGCTATCAAACTAGCTATCAGAGGCATGAATAGAGGCAGATGTTTCAGTCTGAAAACTATCAAACTAGCTATCAGAGGCTGGCATAGAGGCAGATGTTTCGGTCTGACAACTATCAAATTAGCTATCAGAAGCTGGAAAAGACGCAGATGGTTCCGTCTGACAACTATCAAACTAGCTATAAGGGGCTGAAATAGAGGCAGATGTTTCAGTCTGACAACTGTCAAACTAGCTATCAGAGGCTGGGATAGAGGCAGATGTTTCAGTCTGACAACTATCAAACTAGCTATCATAGGATAGAGTAGAGGCAGATGTTTCATCTGACAACTGTTAAACTAGCTATCAGAGGCTGGAATAGAGGCAGATGTTTCAGTCTGACAACTATCAAACTAGCTATCAGAGGCTGGATTACGAGATCAAATAGCTATCTCGAGCCACACTGAAGATCTTACAGAATGAATAGAACAGTGGCAGATATCTGTACTAAAGACCTATCTGTCCAGTGCTCTGCACCAGCGGAGAGAACGCCTCACAATCACAACAACAACATCAAAAAAACATGACTAAAAACAAATCCAAACTGAAAGTAAAATGCATTACTGAATAATCAAACCAGGCCACATTAAAGAATTCATCTTTAAACAATTTGAAATTTGTTTAGATGACAAAAACATATTTATCAGCAAAATGAAATTATTTTTTTATTTTCTGCGAGTCTCATTCTATAATTGAACAGCTGATAGACCTGTTTTCCAACTGACCAACACTCTAGATTTCCTTACCAGACAAATTAGTCAAGCTGTAAATTCAACAGGCGCGCAGTCTTGCGAATGGAACAATAAAACCTTTGCCCAGTGTGCTGCAGGCTGTGCACGTTAAAGATCCCCGCGACAATTCCATCTCAAACAAAATTGAAGGCAGCTGCAGAAATGTGAGACGTAAAGTCTCCATTCATTTCATTTCTGAATTCCGCAAATCATAGCTAAACCGAAAATTTATACAAACACAAACCAGACAGTGAAAACCACGATAGCAGTGTCTTCTCTCATTTTCTACACACCACAGAAATGTTGATCAAGACATAAAAAAAAAAGAAAAGAGGCCTAAGAATTATGCTCCTTATATTTAGAAAAAAAATTTGAAAAAAACAAAAAATGGCAACAGAATGAATTAAAAAACAAAAAATTAATTAAGCCTACGTCTTCCTTTAAATAAGTGCCTCATTCCCCACAAAATGAAACAGTGGTTTAGGGATATGCGTAATTTTTCTTTGCCAGTCAGGTTTGACTTAGTTGTTGCTTAAGTCAAACATATTTTTAAACACATCAAGACACCACACTTTGACAGTGACTCTGGCACACTTTACGCTTGTTCAGTTGAACAATGGACAGCTCTTCAATCTAGTTTCATGTAAAAAGATCTCAATTTGTGCAACATTTATTAGTTTTCTCTTTATTTAGCAAAATAAAGTAAAACAAGTCAATTTGTGAGTTATTTGTATTCTGCAGCCGGCTTAGTATTGACTGAGTTGTCTTTTCCTGTTACTAGCTCTCAGATTTAAGAGTCAATAAAGGTAGTTTTACGTCATTTCGCCCCCTTTGCCACTTCGCCAAGGGGTCTCATGAACAAATTAATAAAACTTGCGAATCTTTTCATCATTTGCGATTGCAAACATGGTCGGTTGTTCAAACTACCTCTTTATGTGGTACAAACCGTCTAAATGCCGTCTTAGAGTCGTTTCAAGACAAATTTATTTACCAGGGACGAAATGACATTGGGGCGGTTTGTCCTCTTAAAATTTACGTTGTGTGACAATCGAGACTTGATCGTGTACTAAACTTTGATGGTGTGACAATCAAGACTATTGTCTACTTTCGATTGCCAACAAACATGGCGGACACTGTCTTGAAATTCGTTGTTTACATTCATTAAATTGTGAAAATAAGCAAATTAAAGGCTATTCTTTATTATTTTTGGTGTTGACTCTTGAGGGGGTACCTTGAGGTGTGTCTCCATTGCTTCAGTATGATATGCCAGCGCATTGGGAGGTTTTAACGAGACTAAATGTGAGGAAGTTCTCACCACTCTGTTAGTACTACCCTACAGT